ATGTTACATTTTCTTCTTGAACTCATGTTTCCATTATACTTTCCCCATAGAAATGTATGCTAATGCAATGTATTTTATGCTTGAAAGTCTTTTTTAACACCCCATCATACTTCTCTGCAAAATATGTATGTACGTTGACATTTTGTTGCTTTATTTTTTGTGACCTTAAGACTGTGGTAACATTTCTTCAGAACTAAGTTAGCATTATAATTGCTATTAGTATACAACTAACAGAACTATATATACTACATATATTTCATAACTAAGTTTTAAGCATAGTAATTTTTTTGGAGGTAAGTCTATTAATTTGATGGTTAGGCTGTTTTGTCTACTAGTTAGTTCATGTATGCTTTGGTGAATATTACTTATTACTAGAGTAAGACAAGCTTAAACATCAATTTTGTTCATATTCTTTGTTTTACATATAATTCTCACGAGTGTTTACACAAATAAGGAGACGGGAATGGAAAGTGTTTTCTTATGGCAATGTTACTCAAATCTTTGACCTTCTGAATTATAAACCCAAAATCATAGATAATTTATCAGCAAAATTTAATTTTTATTAAGTTTAAGCTGACAATTTTATTAGGTCTTCCTTGAATTTTGTTAGTAGCAAAGAATTGGAAATCACCTAACCTGCAAAATAATTTGTAATCCAGTCATTAACAGCCATTTACTCTCTTTAACCCCAGCACCAACATTTTGAAATATGACTAGTTTAATGCTCTAAATGTATAAAAGGGATGTGTAAAAACCTCTAGGACATTAAACTAAGCCCAAGTAAGATTCCAGATGGTTGAAAGGTATTCCATTCTTTTAACAAGGCAGTGAAGGGTGATTGGAAAAGGGAAGGTGGGAAAGAGGCCAAGGGACATCCTCAGGCAGATTCATTTTAGGAAAGAGTATTTGCGAAAATTGAGAATCTCAGAAAAGCTTTTCTAAAAACTACTCTTGCTTCCACATTTCTCAAAGAGTATTGGGGAAAGTTCATGTACCTCAGTTTGAAGACCATAGTGCAATGTACCTGAACACACTGAGATAATGAATTACTTTAAAAAAGACCTCAATGATATTAAAGAGAATTAAAGAGTCCCAACATTGATCTCAATCTTCTCAACTCCCTAGAGTCAATCTAAATGTACGTGTAGCCTGACTTGAGATAGCTATAGCAAGGGTTAAGGAGAAGGAGCCAATAAAATATTCATAACAAACAGCACAGCAAGATGTGGGAGATCTTTAAGAGCCAACAAGGCTTGCTGTTAGGATTTGTCAGTCCTTCTCTCCTTATTTTAATTAATGAAATTATTATAATTCTCCCAAGGGTTAAACTGGCTCTGGGTCAGACAGGACCAGAAGGTCCTCATGATTTCGCCCTGAGGAATTCTCTAATTTTGTTGCCACAACCAAAGCTGAGGATAGAAAAGCATCTCCTTTTTTGTTTTGTTTTGTTTAATATAAAAATAATTGCCTCTACTCTTGGAGACCTGGCTTAATTAGACTAATCTGATTTTCCACTGGCAAAACTACTAAATGGTATTGCTCCAAGTTCTCTAATTATAGAGCAATCACATGTTTTCTCAACAGATACTAAAAAGTCAAATGCTATAATGTTGGATGAGGTCATTGTGACTAGCTTGTCATAAGACCTATTTTAAGAGACCACATGAATTTCAGTGAATATTGCGCAGTAACTGGAAGCAACAGAAAGTTTACTGCAGAAAAAAATTATGAATTGTTACTATAATTTATCTAAACAGTGATGAGTTTCCACAAGTTATTTCATAAGAACTATGTTACTTGACCATAACCTTTGTTCTTCCACCCCTACACTCCAAAATATCTGACCCCGGTCTGGTTTCCCCTCTCTTAACCACCCTCTTCCTTTTCTTTACTGCTTAGCTTGAACACGTTAATCAGTCTTTTGATGGATACTCTTACTAGCACTCTCAGCGCTCCCTTGAACTTTTGCTTATCTATTCTGCCAAGTCCCAGCTCAGAGTCAAACAACCATCTGGTTCTCTCTACTATTGCTTCTAGTTTGCCAAGTACTGCTGGAGAAAATTGTGTAACTGCTGATTCATGCCATGCCAAATCTGCAATTTCCGAATTCACCTTGACCCTTTGCACTACTTGGCAATCCTTTTACTCTTGGCTGGTTGGCTTCCTTTTCCAGTGCTCAGGTGCTATTCCAAATCTTGTGTCATCACTCTTCTGAGGTTTCCTGTCATACCTCCTCAATCAACAGATGACCTAACCTTCTACGTCAGGAAAAATCTATGCAGTTTCCCCTCCCTCCACTTCTAATGGTCATCTACACCTTAATCTGCTCTTCCCCCTGTTCCAGCGGACATTATCGTGCATCAGTTATCCCCTTTTAATACTGTTCATTGGTTTATAAGCTCTTTAGTACAAACTCTATATACATTATTACAAGGCAAAATTTTTTTGGAATGTTGCAAGTTAATAAATCCGCATTGGAATGTCAGGAAATAAAAGGTGCTGATTGGCTACAGAAAAGAGCACATCAAAACAGCAGGTGTTGGCCAAGCTTGGTGGCTCACACCTGTAATCCCAGCACTTTGGGAGGCCAAGGCAGGTGGATCATGAGATCAGGAGATTGCGACAATCCTGGCTAACAAGATGTAACTCCACCTCTACCAAAAATACAAAAAATTAGCCAGGTGTGGTGGCATATGGCTGTAGTCCCAGCTACTTGGGAGGCTGAGGCAAGAGAATCAGTTGAACCTGGGAGGCAGAGGTTGCAATAAGCCAAGATAGCACCATTGCACTCCAGCCTGGGCAACAAGAACAAAACTCCATCTCAAAAAAAAAAAAAAAAAAGAAAAGAAAATTTATATATCAAGTATTCTTCCTCTTTGAATCATTCATAAGCAAAAACAGAAATGAAAGTAGGTTGGGATGTCACCTGCCCCTTAAATGTTTTAAAATTCTATCAGACACATAGTTCTGCCAACCAAGTGTCACAATATGAAATTTAGAGAGGCAATACTTTAGCGATCAATGCCATTTTTTCCTCTACCATTTGCTACCACCTGTCATATGCAGTCAAAGATGCTACTAATAATAATTCATCCACCCAGTTCCTTTTTTTTTTTTTTAACTGTGAGGAGTTCTCTCACCCTCATTCAATCCAAACTTTTCATGGGAATTCCTAGGGCAATCAATGTGAATTACGTCTTATTTGATATGGCTATCCTAATTTAACATCATATTACACAAGGAATCATACAAAACTTACAAATGACCTATGTATGTTGTAGAAGAAGTATTTGTAGGCCAGGCAGGGTGGCTCTTGCCTCTAATCCCAGCGTTTTGGGAGGCCCAGGCAGGTGGATTATTTGAGGCCAGGAGTTCGAGACCAGCCTGGCTAACATGGTGAAACCCCATTTCTAGTAAAAATACAAAATTTAGCTGGGCGTCATGGTGCATACTTGTAATCTCAGCTATTTGGGAGGCTGAGACACAGAATCGCTTGAACCTGGGTGGTGGAAGTTGCAGTGAGCCGAGATCAGACCACTGCACTCCAGCCTGAGCAACAGAGCATTACTCTGTCTCAAAATAGAGACTTCCAAAGAAATTTTGATGTAGATGATACTTAGGAGAGCTATGCAGCCTATCTAACTAAAAGAAGATCTTTGTTTTGTGGGCCCCTAAAACATATATAATTTGGAGAGATCTCTTTCCAAAAAAGAATACAAAATTATGAATACAAAATGAGGTTCAGGGCCTTTGGAAGAGGTCTGTAAAAATGAAGGTCTCTAAAGTTTAAGTTTCATTAGCCTCATATAAATCAGCCTTTTGTATCTGACCACTTAATTGAGGCATTAAGCAATCCTAAAACCCACACCTAGTAAACACAAACTTATTAAAACAGGAACACCTAACATGAACAAAGCTCTTTACATAATATTACATTTCATGCTCACAATGAACCTATCAGGTCAATATTACCCTTCTCACTTTTACAAAAGCAGAAACTGAGACTCAGTAAATTTAGTACTTGCTCACAAGCAGCTCACTACGCACATTGAAGCTGAGATCCAAACCAAAGTCTGACAAGCTAAATCTTGTGTTATTTCCATTATAATACTCTGCCTTTAATGTTTCCCACAAGATAAAGGGTTTAAGTTACTTTGGAGAATACCCTTAGAAAATGGCTGAAAATGTTCAGTTAATACTTGACATTTACATGACTTAATTCATTTTGAGACCTTCACTAAAAATACTGCTCTAAAATTGTATTTAAAGGGCATGAAAAAACAAATGTATCACTGGGTTATCTTCCAATAAGTGACATAGATGAAGACAGCAGATCCTAAGGTCAAAAAGAAACGTGATTCTAATAAAGAAGAAAATAGAAGCAGAACCAGAAAATCCGGAAGGGAGGCTAGAATTATTATACAATCTTTCAGGAAAGAGTATGGCTATGGAAGGACATACTGACGATATGATCTTTCACAAATTAAATCGTCTTGCTACATGTCCAATATTCTTTTACTTTGCAATTATGATAATATCAAGTTTTAAAGATTGAAAAATAATGACAGTGGCTCATATATTATTCTATTATATCCATACCCTGGTATTTGCCAGTTTAACCTCTTTTTTAAAAAAAAAGTCTTAGAAGTATCCTGTCTTCCTCCTAAGGCCCCCAAAAGGTAGATGCTGTGTCTTCATCTTTTCTTCACTTGCAGAATCTGTCACCGTGCTCTACAGATAGTGGCATTTCACAGAGGTTTGTTTTCATGAAAGATGGTGTTGATCTCATTTTTGACAGTCCAACATTTTCCAACACAAAAGGAATTTCATAATGTAGATATGATGTGATTCTATCCTATTCATTCAAAGACTTTAGAATAAAACTTTGTCATTTGGCTAGATGTAAGGCAAGAACTGATCAGATGTAGTCAGTATTTCCAGTCAACAAACTGCCATTAATGTTGAAATTACTTAAAAGACCTGTTGATTATGTGGTATTAGGGCCATTGTGACCTCACTGTAGCTAAGATCCATCCACTGCAGCAGGGGTTTCAAGAACAGCAGCACAAAAATGATGACTTAACTGGAGGAAGAAAAAGGCACATATTTTCAGGAAGCCCTCTTTATTCTTACAAGTTACCCTTCAAGATGATAGGTGGTGCAAACGCTTCAGGATCTTACCTGCCCTCAAAAATAAGGTGAGTCTTTGATGGAAGATGCAAAATGGTAACTATCTAAGAGGGAAAAGAGGGTCTCTCTATCTGTTAACTCAGGCTAAAGGCAGATATTATTGTGTCTTTTCCCACACAGTTCTAAAACAGATGACAATTACTTGAAGGAACTGAGTGAGGACTTGAAGCTAAGGAAACAGGAACTGCTAGAGATGCTCAAACCTCTAGAAGATAAAAACAACCTCTTATTCCAAAAGTTAATGTCGAACTTGGAGGAAAAACAAAGGAGGTACGAGCTCTTACTCTGGATTCCTAGAAGTAAAAAAGCTGGAGAACTTAATCTCCATAGGATTGTCAATAATTATTTACAATTTTTTTGTTAATTAATAAAAGGTTTGACATTTGGCTGTAGAAGGCCAACAATTTGTAACTACCAAGTCAGGATGACAACAAATCCTTTATTTTCTTTTAGTAAATTAAATATGACTCACCCCTCATTTCATGGGCTACAGTTATAACTCTTCCACCCTAGGCTGTCCACCCAAGAAATAGTGAACCATCTTTTTTTTTGAGATGGAGTTTCGCTGTTGTTACCCAGACTGGAGTGCAATGGCACGATCTCGGCTCACTGCAACCTCCGTCTCCTTGGTTCAAGCAATTCTCCTCCCTCAGCCTCCCAAGTAGCTGGGACTACAGGTGCGCACCACCATGCCCAGCTAATTTTTGTATTTTTAGTAGAGATGGGGTTTTACCTTGTTGACCAGGATGGTCTCGACCTCTTCACCTCGTGATCCACCCGCCTTGGCCTCCCAAAGTGCTGGGATTATAGGCGTGAGCCACCACACCCGGCCTGTGAAACATCTTTAATAGCATTAGTTTACCACGGTCACACAGATGCTTTCTTGTGTATGTTTGTGGATCACTTTAGAATAAATGACTCTGCTCTTTCTATGCCAAGCAGTGGAATGGCAGTATTTTCTAAACCTAGCAGCTCTCTGAATTAGAGGCATCTCTAAATATACTAGGTAGCCTGAAGTCTTAACTCCTTACCAGAGCACTTACTGTACCTGGGACCCACAAACTCTGTTTCTAGTCTCAGAACATCTTACCTCATTGAGTCTACCTTTATTCTATACCCTTATCATAAGCATCTCAAAGGACTCATATTTTTGAAGAATAAAACCCAGGCAGAAAGTCATGGTCAAGCACCAACTGCTTACAACTCAGCAATTTAGACTTCTCTCAGGCCAAGAAAACACAAAGGCTTAGAATTGTGTTCTCTGCTTAGAACTGGTGAGAAAAAAGTACAAGAACACAAACAAAATAATTTATGGCTTTAAGAAAAATCCTCTCTCACAAAGACTTGATTTTGATTCAGAATTTGTTGGAACTATATTCTCTCTCAAAAAGACTTGACTTTGATTCAGATTTTGTTAGAACTTCTCAATGGTATGCATTCTCTGGGGCTATGAAAGGATATCAGTGACTTCCTCAATAGACTCAAATGTCCTTATATGAAGAAGCAAGTAGGTGAGAGAAAGTGGACAGAGATGGGTTAGGAAATAACTCTGGGATTTATCATAGAAGACAGCAGGTTTTCAATCTCTTCTTATAAAGGAGGCAGAACTACCACTTCTCCCAAGTCACACACTGCAGCATTCTTCTGAGGGGGTGGAAAGGACTTTCCCTGACTGTTTAGAGACCTAAGCATTAAAGAGCACAGAATTAATTCTAGAGCACATAGATAGGCAAATGTCAATTAGAAATGGAAACATCCTATTATAGAGATCTTCTATGACCAGAAGGGCTTTCATAATTCCTGAGATTTCAGTCCCCATCTAACTTTCACAGTAGAGTACTTTCTGACTGGTTGCAGAATATCAGTATTACCCCTAAGGAGGTATATATGTTTTATGATCCCTCTTTTTCTTCTAGTCTTCAGATCATGAGGCAGATCATGGCAGGGAAGAGGTGTGAGGAATCCTCAGTCATGGAGCTCCTGAAGGAGGCAGAGGAGATGAAACAGAACCTGGTAAGAAGCTGGAGGTACTCCAGAAACAGCCTCCTGAATAGGGCTCAATTCCACTGCAATGTCAGATGTGGAGGGAGACAGAATACTCATTTCTAACATCTGATGCTCCAACACTCATATCAACTTCATCTAGGAAGTCCAGGGTGACACAAAGGGAGTCAGATGGAATGCTGGGAAGAATAGGACTAGCTAGCAAAAATTATATTCTTTGACTTTTTAAAAGCTTTTTATCTAGGGAGTAAATGACTATAACCATATTAACCCTTAATGTTTCAGAAAGAATAGTTAAATATCTCCTATAAAGAATAGAAAATACTTATCAAAATAAAAGAAAATAAATAGTTTGCTCTGTAGGATTCTTATAAGATTTTATTTTAATCAGAAATATAAAGGATCTTAAAAATTAAAAATTAGTTGTCTAAGCCCCCAAGAAATGGCCATATGATAAGAATATCTGAAGTGTTAGGAACTCATTTCTATAGATACGGTCTCACAATTATTATAATTAATTACTTAAAATAACTTGGCTTTTTTATTGCATTTTAGGTTTTGGGGTACATGTGCAGAACATGCAAGATAGTTGCATAGGTACACACATGGCAGTGTGATTTGCTGTCTTCCTCCCCCTCACCCACATCTGGCATTTCTCCCCATGCCATCCCCCCCAGGTCACCCCCCTGCTGTCCCTCCCCTATTCCCCGCAACAGACCCCAGTGTTTAGTGCTCCCCTCCCTGTGTCCATGTGCTCTCATTGTTCATCACCTGCCTATGAGTGAGAACATGTGGTATTTCATTTTCTGTTCTTGTGTCAGTTTGCTGAGAATGATGTTCTCCAGATTCATCCATGTCCCTACAAAGGACACAAACTCATCGTTTTTGATTGCTGCATAATATTCCATGGTGTATATGTGCCACATTTTCCCAGTCCAGTCTATCATCGATGGGCATTTGGGTTGGTTCCAGGTCTTTGCTATTGTAAACAGTGCTGCAATGAACATTCGTATGCATGTGTCCTTATAGTAGAACGATTTATAGTCCTTTGGATATATACCCAGTAATGGGATTGCTGGGTCAAATGGAATTTCTATTTCTAGGTCCTTGAGGAATCGCCACGCTGTCTTCCACAATGGTTGAACTAATTTATACTCCCACCAGCAGTGTAAAAGTGTTCCTATTTCTCCACATGCTCTCCAGCATCTGTTGTCTCCAGATTTTTTAATGATTGCCATTCTAACTGGTGTGAGATGGTATCTCAATGTAGTTTTGATTTGCATTTCTCTAATGACCAGTGATGATGAGCATTTTTTCATATGTTTGTTGGCCTCATGTATGTCTTCTTTTGTAAAGTGTCTGTTCATATCCTTTGCCCATTTTTGAATGGGCTTGTTTGTTTTTTTCTTGTAAATCTGTTTCAGTTATTTGTAAATTCTGGATATCAGCCCTTTGTCAGATGGGTAAACTGCAAAAATTTTTTCCCATTCTATTGTTTGCAGATTCACTATAATGACTGTTTCTTTTGCTGTGTAGAAGCTGTGGAGTTTGATTAGGTCCCATTTGAAAAATATGGTACACTTCACGAATTTGCGTGTCATCCTTGCGCAGGGGCCATGCTAATCTTCTCTGTGTTCTTCCAATTTTAGTATATGTGCTGCTGAAGCGAGCACAACTTGGCTTTTTTTAAACACCATCATCATTATCAAACATCTCTTATGCTCCTGGATTTGGGGCTAGGCCCATTCATTGCCTTCCTCTGTGGTTTACTACGTTCCTGGATCCTTTTCCTACTATTACTTAGTAACTTCTTCCAAACTCACTTCAATGGCTGGACAAATATATTCTTCTGTTTGTTTGGTTCTTCCCCCTCCAACAAGAAAGGAAAAACAAGATGCTTCAGAAGGAAATGGAGATGCTATGGAACAAGGTGTCCCTCTAACGATCTATTGAAAGTATTGTCCTACAGATCATAGTGTGAAAAATCTCCCTTCATCCTCATTTTTTCATGTCCTTGCTTCCACCCATGCCTTATTCCAATCCATTCTCTAAACAGAAGCCAAAATGATCTTTTTAAAACAATCAAAGCATGTCACTCTTCTTATGAAAAACCTTTACAGCCACTCATTGCGGCAGAATCTAGCTTTTGCCCACTCTGCAGTTTCCTCTCATAGATGTCCTTCCCTTGCTTTCTATGCAATCATGCCACTGGCCTCTTGCGGTTTCTCAGACACACCAAGCCTTTTCCTATTTCAAGCACTTTGCTCTTGCCTTCTCCACTGCCTATAATGTTATTTTATCATGGTTGGTTCATTCTCATCCTCCAGTTCTCAGCTTCAATGCCATCTTCTTAGAGAGGATGTCCTTGTTTGCTCCATCTAAAGCAGGGCATTCTCTTCCTCCTTTCTATTATATAACTATGTTCATGTGTTCCATAGCACTGTTTATAATATAAAATTGTTACTGTATTATTATTACTTTTTCACTTGTTTCTTGTTTCCTTGCCTCCTTCAGTATCTTCCTAAGCTCCTTCAGTATCTTGATTGCTTTGTCCAAATTTGTAGCTCCTAGCACAATTCTTGGAACATAGTAGAGATCAATAAATGTAAGTTGAAGAAACAAATGAATACCTAATTCTAATTCACCTATAATTTTACAACAATCACTGCATTGTTTAAGGTGACAATATCAGGGCCTTTAGCTGGGAATCCAGAGCCAGGAGTCGGGGGAAGGGGACACGAAATTCCTTTGTCCCTTGTCCAAGACTAATCCCTTGGAACCCAAGTGCTTCTTCATAGACTATGCAACTAGAAGAGTAGATTATATCTTGTAATATTAACAGTTATACTGTGTGATCTGTCTGCTTTTTTTTTTCTCATCTCACCTTTCCACAAATAATCAGAATACCTTCAAGCCCTGCATCTTGTATTGAGATCTGCTCCAGGTTCTCATTGGCAGTTACAAATTAGTTCTATGAATTGTCAGAAGTTTTAGTTCCTTAGTTCTTGAGTCCTTGTAATAGGAAATGTGCCAGAACAATTCCTCTATCTAAATCCAGCTTCTATGGAGCTCTCAAAAGACTTTTTTAAAATAAAGGATGTCCATACACTTGACTTGTGATCAACTTTCCCTACTCATATTTTAGTAAGGAGAAATGGAAAAGAGCAGCATGCCTAATGAACAAAAACACAGGCTTCAGAATCAGAAAGATCTGGTTCAAATTCCAACTCTGTACTTTCCTAGCTGTGTGACCCTAAACAAATAACCTCTCCAAGTCTCAACTTTCTCATCTATGGAAATTAAAATAGTCCTCAAAGAGCTGTGAGGATTAAATGAGAATGTCTGTAATATAGTACAGTAAGGAAAGTAAGTAGAGTAATGCAGTAAGCAGCTTAGAGTAGTGACTGGCTAAGGGTCCAGCTAATCATTTTCATTCCTGTAAGGTACACTCAAGTAACTGAATGAAAGAAAGGGCTCACAACATTCTGAACTCCCTTTGGTAGTACCTGTTTCATGTCAGGTCCTGAGAACCTGCTGACTGGCAGGAACCAAAGCCTTGACCCATATTGGTTTTCCACTTCTTTCTTTAATTTCCATTAATTTAAAGCTTTGCCAAAATGTCTTTCCACAGACATTCGAAGCAGAAGAACTCAGTGATCAACAAAGAGCACGAGAGATGAAAAACAAGGCAGACTTGCAGGATGGAAATGCAAGTGGACTGCAGGTACTTAGAATTTCAAGACTGTTGATGTCACACAGCTGGAAACAGTCTGTTGACAATCAGGGCTAATTTGGGTAGACAGATAGGTGGGATCTGGGTTTTTAGAGTATTAGATTTATGGCCTGCTGAGACTTTGCATTTATTTCCTGGGATCTCCTATTCCTTTAGCTCTCTTCTTTCATCCCAGGCTCCCAAATCCCCCTCGTCACCTAGGAAGACCGAGTGAACTGGAGAAATCATGTGCAGAGAAAGTGAAGGAGATAAGGAAAGCACTACAGCCGTTCTGAATGGTAGTGGCTTTTAGAGCTAATAAATTAGATATCTTTAATGTTGCAGTAATTTGCCTAAGCTTTGGTGTGTTCTTGAACCAATGCAAATTTTTATAGACTTAGTTCCCTTGTGTTACTATATTTGAGTCAGAGTAACATCACAAGTTTCTGGGAAATCATATTAGGCAAAAGTCAGAGAAGCTATACCAACAATGATAACTCTGCAACAGCTATATGATGTCAGAACTCCTGCTAATTTGTCTTTGAAAATGTATTCAGTGGTATTATGCTTGTATCTCATCTTCCCATAACCAACTCATCAACATAAAATAACCATTCATTTAGCTTTTAGAGGGTGGTTTGTACAGGTGAGGCCAATTAAGAGAATTGTGCAGTTAAAACCAATTTAATCATAAATCTGTGCCACCATAATTTTGCTATAAGGCTTTTGCAATATATTGAAAAAACTTATTTCTGATCTCAATTTACTTTGTCAACCAGAGGTTCTTTCTTCCACCAGGAAAAGCAACAGAGGAAAATGGAATGGGTCAAGTATCAGGAACAAAACAACATCCTTCAGGTACTCAGGTCTTCTAAGGCTCGATATAGGATGCAATTTTATTCAAATAATACAAAGGCTTTTAGCTGCATATTGTGAAGCCCAGTCCCCACATCCTATATTACCAATCGTCCTGCTAAAATAAATGTAGAGAGATAAGTGAAGGAACCTATCTCTGGCTTCACCCTAGGCAACTTGGAACAAGACAACTTGAGCATTTCTTCCTATGCTCTTGATTTTATTCTATTCTAAATGGGGGGAAAAGCACAAATACTTTCTACTCAACTTTTAAAGGCTGAGCATGATGGAATTACTTTTTAACTTCTGAATAAAGACGATTCAGAAAAGCCAATACTAAATGTGTAGTTTTTGAAAATGTTCCCTTTCAGAATGATTTTTGTGGCAAAGTGATTGAGCTGAGAAATGAAGCCTTGAAGAAGTACCAGAAGGCCAATGACCTGAAATTATCACTGTTTTTGCAGCAGAATTTCGAGCCAATGCAAGCATTTTTAAATCTTCCTGGGTCCCAAGGTAGGTAGAATATCCCAGATACACAGTTTGAGGTTTTGTTTTGTTTTACACTGGAGATCCTTTTACTTGTAAAGTGAGTAATACAATGACTATAATAAATAAAAGTACAGTAATAAATTTTTTCATTATCATTATTATTATGACTCGGAAGCTCCTGTACTAAGGCAAAGATTCTCTCTGGGAGAATAGGTTTCCTTTGTAAAGATAAAGTAACATATTATATACTTAGCATATGTAGCTGACATATAACTAGCATAATAAAATATGTTTCCTTTCTACCCCATCCCCTTTTCTAGGAATTAGAATTATTTAATTTTATTAATCTTGCTGGAATAGACTCTGCTACTTCAAAGCAGAAGGCCAAGGAGACATCTGACAATGGTTGTGAATTTCATCAATCCAGTTCTCCCTCTGAGAGTTTCAGCAACTTCCTCCACAGAATTTATGGCAATATTAGAGAAAATGATATAGTTCATTAAAAAATAGAATACAGAGATGGTTCGGAGGACAGGGAAAATGGTTCTTGAATTTTCAAGTATCTAAGAATATGAACTCCATTTTTATAAAGGGACAGGCAATGGGAAATCATGGCCAAGGAATGACAATGTTCTATCAACATCAGTATGTATGTTTCTAGTTTCTTAGTCTTATTCCATAAAGGGTTTGAACAGCTTATAAAAATCACACTCAACATATAGGGATAAATAAATATATAAGCAAATCAAAGAAAAGGGAAAATAAACTGAAGCCAGGTAAATACACAAGAATGCATAATGAAAGTACTGCACAGCTGGCAGAGGTAGGCTACAAAATTTTCCAGTAAAAAGAAACATTGATTTGTGAAATTCATGAAGAAACAAAGTTTTTCCTGGTATTGAAATCTGAGAGAAATTTTTCATCCAGGTCCCTATGATGGGGACAGGACATTGTTTGTGTGATGATAGTAGCCAGTGTCTTCAACAATATTTCAAAATAAATTCAGAATCCAGATTTCGTAGGCTGTTTCTCCTCTGTTCTTTGGCATAATCTAATAAAAAACTTATTAATCTAATTTTTTTAAAGTGATGAATTGACTCAGGATGATTCAGGTATATAAAACTCTACTGGTCTGGCTTGATCCATAGGTAAATTTTAGAAAACTATTGACTATCTTTCAGGCAGTATTACATACGTATTTTTCTTTCAACTTATGTTCTAATAAGAATTGGACAAAATTGGAAAGAAACCTGGAATGCACCCATAAGCAGTATTAAATCATTAAAATACAAATTTAAAAGAGGAGAAGAAGGTTATAAGGAAGAGAGACAGGTCCCTGTTTTACTTCATCCAAAATTAGCTGAAGGTCATCTTGAGGGATCTATAGGGTAAAGAGCCAAAAAATTTTTAGCTCCAGAATCAAATTAAGCCTAAATTAGCAAATAGTGAAGGGTTCCATTCAACTTGATTGCGTCAGGGGATATTTTTTCCCCTTGCATATAAAACATTGAATCGACTTTAAATTGGAACAGTCATAGAGCAACACCTTTTCTCGCCTATCCTCTTATGCTTCTGGAGAATTAAATGATAGGGTACTATACTGCTCTGTTACCACAAATTAATATCACCACAGGCAATGGATCAGTGTGTTATACTGATTCTGCATTCATTTAACACTAATTATGGGTCAGTTTCATTTTCTAACACACGTATTCAAACTATAGGTTTGTTTAAGCCCAAGTGGATTTGAAATCTAATGGAGTCCTATATTTTGGTTATGTGGCCTATTTTTTCACTTCTAGTATTTGATTATTGAAAAGAAAACAAATATTCTCATAATGAATGATTTTAAAAGTAATATGTAAAAGGGTTATTATCAGCAGTAATTAATTTCTTAATGGTAGATGTTGCAGTGTTTTCCAACTTTATGTATCATCTGGACTATTATCTATTCAATATTTGCTGTTAAGTTGACTTACTAGTTTCTTAAATGCATTCCTTGAGAATAAAATTTGTATTACTATTTTAAATGAAGAATTGCTATAGTTTTCCATAATAGAAGGTAAACAATAATACACACAAAAAACAAGATTTTAATGTTCCAGAAAATTGTATAAGTCTGAGATCCATTTTATCTGTATTAGGAAGTGAGATTAGAAAGACACAGAGAATCTTAAAGTCAGCACCAAACTGCAACTTTCTCTTGGTGCTATCAAGTTTGAAATAATTGAAAATAATTTTCTCACTGTGACTTATTCCGTGTTACAACACCCAAATTTATCCCAACTGCCAACTAAAATTATCTCACCATCAAATTTTGGAAAATTATAATTTAAGGGAAAAAGCACTGAATTTAGACTCAGATACATTAGTTCTAGGCCTTCCTCTGAGGCTCACCAGTTATATAACTTGGGAAAGTCATTTAATTTCAGTTTTTAAACATACAAACAACATTAACATGGGGCATGTTGATAACGTAATACCTTGTGTAACCCTCACAATGACTCTTATAAGGTATTACAGAACAAGAAACAAGCACAGAGAAGCCAGGTTTCTGGCTCCATATTCAATCTTTATTCCCTAGACTATGCTACAAAATGAATGTGTAAAAGTATGTGACTTTTCATGCCTCTTCTAGATCTAAAGGCTGTAATTTGAATCCAAATTTATTATCTGTTTAACATATAATCTTCCCAGTGAAAAATCATACTCCCTTAGGTTAATTCATTCAGCAAGAGATTGGTCATTCTGCATCTGGCCCAGTAGGTGGCACCAACCACATCCAGGCTTCAAATCCACAGAGTGGTAATTCAGGAACTGTGAAATGCTGTGGGCGAGACTGGCCTTCTATTACTCTTAGGACAAAAGGTGCCACATTTATATATCAAATGAAACAAGAAAAAATGTCTTGATGTTTTATGACATGCTCTTTTGGCACCAAAGTATATTACTGCCAGCCTTGATTGGACCATGTTAAACTCGGTATTTCTGTTGCATAATTTTTACCTAGTATTCTACTCCCTGGACTATATAGTTCTCTCCATTTCAAAAAACAGTCACTGCCCACTTCCTCCACAATCCTTGTAGAATAGTGTTCCCTTCTACCACAGATAAATCAGGCGATTGGGGTTCTAAAATAAAAAATGGGTTGGGCAATTGCACAAGATGGTGCTTATTTGAAGTTTGTATATTTAATAGTGTTACAGGGACAGTGTTCCTTTTTCTCTAGTTTCAAAAGAATTGAATTTCGCAAACCTGTCTTAGAGAAAGGGTGGCGTATAATTTTGGACACACCTCCCAGTAAATCAAGGGTACAGGCTCTTCTGTTCTAACCATTTCCGAGTAGAGGAAGGGTTTACCTCTGCACTCTGCCAAGAATTTCTCCTCCTACTGTCCTATGTGCTGGTTGGCTGAGTTGCAGTGGCATGATCTGTGTAGCTGGCAAAATACCATCTCGTGTTTGTTAATATTATTTTGTTATACTTCAACAAATCCCTACTTGTGAATTCCCTTGATGCACAGGATGTAGCATTACCATTGTCTATGTTATCTCTTTGGCATACAGCATCAGTTTGTTTACACCTAGAGTGAAGTCTTTACTTTTGATCTTTCTGGAGACAAGTAACATTTGAAAGGATTTACTTTCCCACCAATGGAAAATTATAATTTGACTCAGGGTGTATCGTAGGTCCTCCCTAACTTCTATAGAGTCCCGAGAGCAAGTTTGTGGACTTTGGCAGTCACTTAGAGAGCACAGACATTAAGCAATCTCTAAATGCAACTGAATTTCCCATCATATCTGCCGGTGTTTAAAGAGGTTTATCTTCAGCAATAATATAACTTTATTAAGACATTTGATTTTGACAGTCTTGCTTTTCTCTCCTACCTCAACCCCCACCAACTCTTAGCATTTCCTTGAGCTCTTTTGAGAAAAACCTGAAGGTTGGATTTGAGTATTATGCTACATTTATAAATTCAGATGAAAGCCCAGCGAGGTGGGAAATGTATACTCTTGAGACCTTATTTACTCTCTAACTCCTTCTGTTCTGAAAGCAAGAAATTCTTCCCAGCTTTAACCTTTACATCACTTTTGTACAATTCTTCCTGATGGCTGAACTACACTTCAGCAGGTGCTGCTGAAGGGAAAATAGTAGTGTTAAGCTAAAATGCTGAAAGACAGGGGCGGAAAGCCACAGCTAGCTCAAATCTGGGTCCTTGATAAGTAGTATTGTATTGCTTTCAAGTATAGGCTTTTTTAAGCTTTGAGGAAACCTGAACCTTTCGAATGTCAAAGTTGGGTTTTGGTATTAGCAGGTTATAAAGTTAATTTCTAAACTAAGTCATTCTTTTACCTCCTTAAGACCACACAGAAATTCAGGGAGAGAATAAATTCTTTTTTCCTAAATATAAATTTTGAAGCTTGACAAAATAAACTGTATCTTTATTAATATTATTTTAATGGGTAATAACAGATTCCATAATTTGTGGGCACACACACTCAGGAGTGAAGCAGGATGTCTAGGAAAGAGTGATCATATTTAGCAAATAAAAAAAGGATACTCTATTAAATGTGAATTTGAGATAAACATCAAATAATTTTTAGTATAAGTGTATCCCAAATATTTCATGATATACGAAACGTTATTTGGTATTTATATTGAAATTCAAATTTAACTGGGAGTCCCATATTTTAGTCTGGCAATTCTAATTTGAAAAGACTCATTATGGTCCTATTTAGCATCCTACAATTCTCCCTTATCCTTTTCATTACTTCTCTTCCCCTTTCCCCTTCTCACCCTCTGCCTGCCATTCTCTCTGCTTCTTCATTCTCTTCCCCATCTTCACTTTTATATTCTTTCTCCATTATCTACATTTGATCATTTTTTGTGAAATATATCTATCTGGGTTATCTGAGGGTATGTATATATACACATAACTTACTATTCCACTTCTTTATTTAATTGCATATAATTCTCAAATTATTTTTCCCCGTGTGGGACATGAGCTCTAAATAGAAAACAGTCTGTCACTCCAACTTCTGAAATATTGCTTGACAAAGTTATTTTCTAAATAAATAAATAAATCGGAAAATTCACATCAATGCTAATACACACAGTGACACAAAACAAAACTAGTTTCCACACCCCTTAACAGAGGCTCTCATTTTCCTATGTTTCCGCTTAGGTACTATGGGCACTACAACTATGGACAGAGTGACTACTGGCAGAAATGAACAGCATGTGGTGAGAACTACTTTCTTCAAACAAAAAAAATTGTTTTAAGGGCTTGAATAGATAGTGGGTATAGATTTTTGGAATGCATTTCTTCACATATGTTCTAATTTAATATTTTAGTGATTTGCAAAGTGGGTGCTAGGGTATTCAATATTTTAGCTGTCCTTTCTCCTCTGTTTTTTTTTTTTTTTTTTTTTTTCCTGTCTTAGAGAATTCTGGGATCAAAGATCTACACAGAACAACAAGGAGCTAAAGGAAGTCAGCTTGATGATGCAGGAGGGAGGCTCTTTTTTCTGAGGTCACTGCGAGATGAAGCACTGAAGAATTAGAAGTCTTTCACTCCATTTGCTTTGGACAGATTTAGAGACTAGGCATAACCATGTCTGTTAATTAAAATCTCTCAAACCTTTGTTTTAGTGCTGTTTTCCCTCTATCCCACCACCAATCTGGGAGAAAATGTTGGATGTTTGGCCTTAAACATGTATGGAATGTAGTTATTTAGGGATTGTAAACAGCCTTTGATTATTTTGATAGCTTTTGGATTTGAAATGACCACATTAAATAATATGTTTTTACTAAGCCCATAAAAAGGAGCTCCTCTCCATCTCTGAAGTACGTAATTGTGGACAGATCCACCACTGGAAAATGAGCAAAAGTAGGGACAAAATAAGTAAAATTATATGCCATAGACTTCTCTTATGCTCTCACCAAAAACATCAAACTGCCCTGTTGATTCTGCCCCCTTGTTATCTATTCCTTGAATATCAATCACCTTCCTAGTATCACTTTTTTTTCCAGCCCCTCCCTCCTGCCTGGATTACCAAAACTTCTTAATTGGTTTCCCTGCTTCTAGTCCCTCTAATTCATCTTCCACAGTACCACTGAAGCTATCTTTTATAAAAGATAAATGAGATGTTACTCCCCTACTGGTTTCTTGCTGAAGTCCAAGCTCCTTCACAGACCATAAATGATCTGTCTCCTGCCTAGCTTCTCAGTCTCATCTTTCACTATGTCCCCCTTCTCTCATACATCCCACATTGTACTCCACAGAGAACAGAACTATTAATATTTAAAATTCTCCCGATATATTATGAGTTCTATTAGCTTCACGTACAAAGTGGAAAGATACTTCTCTCCTGTATCCCTGACTATTGCCTGTTTGTCTTAAGACTAAATTTGTTGCCTTTCTATCCCACTGATTCTCAATCATAGCTGTGTATTGGAATCCCCTTAAGAGCTTTGAAAACAGCATTCTACTGGGTCCACCCCAGATAATTTAAATCATGGTAACCAAGTGATAGGGCAAAAGTATCACATTTTTTAAAAGTTCTTCAGGAAATTCTAACGTGTAATCAGGTTTGAGACTCGCTGCTAGGCTCTCTTACATCTGTCATAGCAGTAAGTGAACTGTATTGCAATTATTGGTTTTTTTCAGCTACGTTCTTCACCAGATGGTGAGCTCTTTGAGGCCCAGGATTCTATCTTGTTATCTTTTCATTTTGACTGCCAAACACAGTGCCTAGCTTTTCATAGAGGCTCCATAATTGATATGCATAAGGCCACAGAAAATTAATTTCTAAGTCCCAGGTTTCTTGATGTCCTGCCTTGTGTACATTACCAGTGGATTATATTGCAGTTCCTGAGATCTTCAGATATTTTCTTTTACTCTAAGTTGTAATTTCCTATCTCATGTCAGTATAGAAGAGTTGATTTGTCACAAAACACTTCATAATCCATAGGAATCCCTTATACTTTCTGGTAATAAGCAAAAGTGAAGGAACCAATTCAAACTCTTGTTTCTCTCAAGGTCAATTTAAAGATGCATTTTAAAGATGAATTTTTAAAAAATGTACTTTTGCACTTGAGAAGGTTTACAAGAAATCACAGAATTTTGGCATTAGAAGAAACTTTAAATAAGTATAAAGTTTCCTTCACTTTACAAAAAAGGAAATTGGAGTTCAGATACACTGAAAAGGTGTCTAAATTCTTACAGTTAATTGGGGCCAGAGCTGGTTACCAGAGCCTAGGTATTAATACTGCCAGTTCATATTCCAATCTACCTCATATCTTTCCTCTCCTAACCACAAAAATAATGAGCTCTAAAACCCTGAGATGATTAGTTTCATATTCTACCAAGTTAGTAGATTATATAATTTACATTGTTTCAGGAAAGCCACCACTGTACTTATTTAGTCCCTGAGAGATTTTGGCAGTCCTGAGAGATTTTCCATCTATTGGATTAGACAGGGCAATGTGAATAAAAGATAGAAATATAAAATCCGGCCGGGCATGGTGGCTCAAGCCTGTAATCCCAGCACTTTGGGAGGCCGAGGCGGGTGGATCACGAGATCAAGAGATTGAGACCATCCTGGTCAACATGGTGAAACCCCGTCTCTACTAAAAATACAAAAATTAGCTGGGCATGGTGGCACGTGCCTGTAAATCCCAGCTACTCAGGAGGCTGAGGCAGGAGAATTGCCTGAACCCAGGAGACAGAGGTTGCGGTGAGCTGAGATCACGCCATTGCACTCCAGCCTGGGTAACGAGAGAAATTCCGTCTCAAAAAAAAGAAAGAAATATAAAATCCGAATGTACTACTGATTACCTTGAACAGTCGTTTAACCGCAGGGCTGTAGATTCCCAATTTTAAAATTGGATTAAAAGAGCATCATTTGAAGGTTTTTAAAGTATGGTGTTTTGTTTTTTTAAATCACTAGTGAGTTTGGATTATTATATGACCTTTCCCCTCCACCCCACTTTTTTTCTGTTAACTACAACATGAAATAAAGTAGTTTACTTGGTAGCTGAGGTTGTAACTTCTTAAAAAGTGAATTATGTGCCATTACCAAAGTATTTACATTTTATGTTCATTATCAGTCAGGCTTAACAACTTTCCTTCAAATGTTCCAAAGCTTTTAATTTTTTTCAAAACACAAAACTGGGATAGCCTGTTATCCTACTTTGTCTTTAAGACTTCATATTAGGCAGTATACAATTTCAGTTAGATTGGATGGCTCCTCATGAGTGTCTGCATTTTGGTGAATCCAGGAAATGGATCTCAGCTTTGTGAATACAGACAAATTTATATGGTCAACTTACTCAAAAGGTCAGAGATTTATTCAAGCTACTCAAACTCCCAAGAGATTAGCTGATAAACCCAATATTAAATTACAGAGAGGGCTATACCTTATAATTTGGTGGGAATATATCTATATTTAGGGTATTCCTACCTCCAAATCAAATTATAGGAAACTGAATTAGTAATCAAAAAGTATTTGGGATTGAAACATCATTATTATAGTTTTATTTGTGCTCATAACATTCCGATGATTTTCATCTGAGAATAAAATCTCTGATAACCTTCACCATATATGGGCGACACTTTTCAATTTCAAGGTAGTTGAGGAAAAACCTGTCCCATCAGCAATATATTTATAAATCATAACTTTGGGTAGCCTATTTTTGTAGCTTATCTCATTTATTTTATCTTGACTTTCTAGCTATGCAGAGGGTATCTGCTAGCATTTCATCCCCCAAAAACTGCCTTTTTGCTTTGCCAGAAAGTGATTAGTAATGTTTGTCACACTTCTTTCCTAAATGAAATAAGGGTAACAACAGCCTGATAGTTTCATCTTTAGCCTAGAATTGCAATAATCAAAGAGGGAACTGACAATGCACATTCTGCCTTACATTCTGCCTTACACTGTTGCATGAATTGCTCCCCAAGTAAAATGTCTTTTGGTCCCTCTATCACCTTGGGAGGAGCCTGCATTGCTACCAATTCAAAGTCCCTATTGCTTCATATGTTTTGCATTTAGTCAACAAATATTAGGAAATGAGAAGAGCACAAGGTTCTGTGCTGGAAAGGGAGGCTTGGCTTTACAACCAATCAATTTCACAGCAGGAGATACACAGGCAGATATAAATGAAATGTAATTATTACATGGTAAAATTGAGAATTTTCAGGACAACTAAAAATCCATCTTCTCTACTTCTTTCACAAATTCACTTATAATTCCTAACATGAAAAGTTACCTAAGGTTCATTTAAAGTGTAAAATATGATACAAGCATTCCTGGAAACTATATTTCCTTCAATTATTAGTCAACCTGGGGAAAATGAGATTACTTAGGTTAAAATAATTTTTGTTTTGTACAAGCTTTTTAAGGAAAAATATTTTTTTCTGAGGATGCTGAGCTTTAAGATAAATTTTAGTTACATGGAAACTAATTAACAACGGTAGAAAAGCATGATGCTTTTGATTTTTTAAAAGGTCCACTTAAACTCAATCCATGTCTGTTTTTAAGCTTGGAGCTATCTTTTCATGACATATATATTGAATCCTAAAAAATGAAGGCATTGCAGACAGAGCCCTTTTAAGAAATCAAATAGATTCTGGGGCACTTAATATTATTTTCCCATTTAGCAAATCTCATTTTCCTTTCCTATATCAATAATGCCCTCCTCTTCTATTCTATGGTCTACTTTTTTTTTTTGAGGGAGAAAAATTAGTGCTTTCCTTAGAAATCAGACTTTTTTTGTTCTTGGTTTTCTTCTTTTATCAGATATACAGCCACAAAAATGGAGACCTCCTACATTTGTAAACTGTCAGAACATACCTGGGAAGAACTTCTCTACCTTCTGAATATTAATATGTGACTGTGTAGGTGGAATTAAAGGTTTAAACTGGAGCCTTCAGGAAAGAATAACCTCTATAGTATAACGAAGAGAGAGAGGGGTTTGTAATTAGAGTCGAACTAACTGCTAAGCTTACCCTTAGGTAAGATACCCAAATTCATCCTCCCTCAAACTCAGTCCATTTGGTAGAGGTGTAGCTGATCCCCATCCTTTGGACAAGTATGTGAGTAAGGCCTAATTAAACAGAAAATGCCACTCCCCTTGCCTTATAAGTGCTTTGGGGATTGGCACATGACATAAATCTATGATTCTCAGTTTTGGTTCTCCAGACCCTTTATGTTCTTAAAAATTGAGAACTCTATGGAGCTTTTGCTTATGGAGATAATATGGTTTGGCTCTGTATCCCCACCCAAATCTCATCTTGAATTGTACTCCCATAATTCCCAGGTGTTGTGGGTGGGTCCCAATAAGAGCTAGCTGAATCATGGGCGTGGTTTGCTCCATAGTATTCTCATGGTAGTGAATAAGTCTCAAGAGATCTGATGGTTTTATCAGAGATTTCAGCTTTTGCATCTTCCTCATTCTCTCTTTGCCTGCTGTCATCCATGTAAGATGTGACTTGCTCCTCCTTGCCTTCCACCATGATTGTGAGGCTTCCCCAGCCACGTGGAACTGTGAGTTCTCCATTAAACCTCTTTCTATTGTAAATTGCCCAGTCTTAAGTATGTCTTTATAAGTAGGTGTGAAAACAAACTAATACAGTAGGTTACA